TAAAAAAAAAAACAGTAAGAACCTTGTAAGCGGGTGTTGCTGACTGCACAATACGCTCTTTAAAGTGTAATTAATCATAAGCTCGGCTCTAGAGTCGGGTGCCTAGAATTTTACAATACAATTTTACAATCTGACACGATTAGACAAGAGTATATATATTTACATCGTGCATCTTTCTTTTATATATTGTTGATAGGGTATAAAAACCAATGTTGAAAACCTTAAACCGAACCTTAAGCCAAATAGAGAACAGTCGAATCGAAATATTAAAACAAATATGTACAAATATCACATCTTAAACACGAACCCTTGTTCTATTTAAAAGTATAGTTCTGCAACAATGCAGAATGTAATTAGGAAGCAGCACTAATTCCCTCTGTGTATTTAAGTACACTCTCGTCCTTGTCGACCTGCTTGCCATCGTTCAGCTACAGGGTATCGGTTAGTCGTACTGCTCGTTTGATTTGTGTTTGAGTGCCATTTTGTCTGCACTGAATGCCCATTTCTGTTGCCTATGTACTGCAATAATTCAGCCAAAAGCAATGTACAATTTTTTTTTTTTGCAGCCCAAAAGAATTGGCCAGCTCCTGGCTCCTCGTTCTAAGCCATTCTGTGGGATGTTTTTCGCCTGCATAGACCCTTTGATTTAATTTTGTTAGCGCACACTTGAGCGCACAATTAGAGATGTCAGCTGTGATGCTGCTGCTGCAGTTGCTGCCTTTGTGCCGAACTGCAGCTAGTGCAATTGTGTTTGACAATTCAATTTGTAGTCAAGTGCTGCAGCTCGTAGCCCAAACGCAGTTTCAGTTGCAGGCTGCATTCAAATTTGAATTATATGCGATTGCCTGCTGATTTTTTGGCAAACTACATTGCAGCAGCTGCATCTGCTGCTGCATTATGCATTGATTTGCAGCAAGTGCATCATCAGCAGCTATTGTGGACCAACAAACAGCATTCGACTGCTGATATCAGCATCAAATGTGATTATCGGTTCAGCTGCCTAAGTTATGCCAAAAACAATTTGGCCATTGTCAACGCCGGCGCCCAAGCTGCTGACAACTTTTCCTCGCCCTTGCTATTTATTGCTATTGGCCATGGCTTTAATGTTATTGGCTCTTAAAGTGCCACTATTTATTTTGTTGCCTATTTATGCCGCTTTCCACGCTTTTATGTATACATACAAAGTCCCATCCACAACAAGTGGCACATAAATAAAATTGTAAAGATACCCACGAGACGCATTTAACATCGAACCCAAATGATAACATTTGGTTTTTTATTTATTTGTTAGCTTGGATTGAATGAATGAACTTCCTTTATGATAATACTGTGACTGTGTGTGTGCTGTTAGCTATAGCCGCAGAATTTATTAGATACCCCAAGCTCTAACTGGAAATATCTTGTCTGGGCTGCTTCAAAGAATAGAAGGCATCAATTAGCGTAGATTTTATAATTATATAAATCAAGTTTTCTGCGAAAAATTTAAGGCAAAAATGAACTAGAGAATGTTCATGAAATTTTCCACCAAATTGGGCGTATGTCAACTCTTCAGCCTGTTAAAAATAGCTCTAATCAATTTGTCAGAGTTTTTCCAGCATTTGCCAAGAAAAATGTGATGTGCTCTTTGGAAATTCTTTGGAAGTGAATTTTCAACCAACTATAAATTCGGGAAGGAAAAGCATTTTTCTCCAAAAAGCTGCTAAGCTGTTGGCATATGTGAAGCATATTTTCTAAGAAATACATTTTTGTAGCCAACATTTTTCATTCCGCAGAAAACTTGACTTGACTATAATCTCTTCAAACTCAGCAGCTTATGTTTATCGCCATTCTTGATGCATCACGTATATTGAACCCCATAATTGGGAAAAGAGCAACATTTAACGAATAGAAATTGCAGCTTGCAACTTTGAAAAACGCATAAAAACTTGGTTAAAATTTAACCCAAGGTTAAGTAAACTTGATACAATCTTTAATGCAAAACTTTGCTCGTGTCGCTGCAGTTGGCGAAAAAACATTTTAAATTTTAAAGTTTTGCACATAAATCTTTACACAAAACAAAGCGAATTAAAGGCAACAAGCTCGTTTGGCACTTGCAATGCATTTCCGTTTCCGTTTTTCTAGAGTCTGCAGGCCTAGCGATGCCAGCTGCTGGCATGACTTTCAATTTCCATTTAGCCAGAATTTACGATCGGTAACAAACCAAAATAGAATGTGGTTAAAATATACAGATATGAATATAATATGAGCACAAACTTCAGGTCGCTGCTGCTTAACTTCAACAATTTCGTAATCAGCGGCCCCATTTTTAGGTCCGGGGTCAGAACTCACCATGGCCAGGACTTGGCCAGGAGAGCTACAGTGAGAAAATAGAGAGAGAAAGAGAGAGAGAGCGAGAGAGAACTGTGTGTGGGCGTAGTTGCTGGCATACGCTTGGCAACATGTTGCGGATGCTTGGCAACAAGTTGCTAGCGCTGCGAAACAATGTAAACTTGATAATCCGTAGATGTAAGAAGAAGGTTCCACTTTGAGATATGCATTTACCCAAGAACATATAAACTTCGAACGCAAAAACTTTCAATTTAAATGCTTGAGAGCAAGTCGTCATACAAAGTGTTTTCGGCCATAACCCCAAGCACCTTCTACCCCCCTGAGGCAACCATTTGGCAAGAAAATTGTTGCTACTTGGGGGCCATTAGCTATGCATGAGGTAGCGGAGCGGCAGCTAGCTGGCAGACAAAGGTGAGTAATAGCGCCCACGGCACAGCAACTCAGCTGATTTTGTGTGTTGCTGTTGTTGTTGATGTTGTCCTGTGGATACGCATTTGCATTTTGTTGAAACACCTTTTGCTCTGGCCCGGGCCTGACAGCTGGCCGCACACGATTGATTTATAAGCAGCTGTGTGTCGAACCCACAAAATGTTGCTGACTAACAAGACGCCAGTTCAATGGTTTGGCAAAAATTGTTGCCCAATAACGGCTAGGCAATAGCCTGCAGCAGGTTAGCTTCGCCGGAAGAGCCGAGCCCAGTTTTCTAATGTCTTGACTATGAGCAGAATCCCGAATAAAACTAGTTGCACACAAAAAGCTGATTATCCTGACCGAAGCTAACATTTTTTTTTGTTTGATTGATTGAAAGCAATCTTTGGCATTATTATAAAAAATCTTACCTAAGTCAAATGTAATTTGGGACAGGTACTCAGTTCAACAGACGAACCTAATTGCGAGGCCCTAGTTGGAACCTTGATCTGTACCATGCAGGCACATTGAGCAGATCTCTTCCACAAGATTCAAAGCTCTTGTGCTTTAAGCCCAATTCGTAAGCTCTCCGAAAACTACCTTCGGTCTTAAACAGCTAATATGCCGCATACTTGTTACAATTTATTTTTAGCAGCACTTTTTTGCTTGGCATTTTTGGCATACTTTTCCGCACAGTCTGCAGTTTTCCTTCAAGTTATTTTGCACCATTCTTTTGGCAATTTTTATTTGGCTTTCTTTATTTGCTTGGCCAGTTAATTATGCGCAGGCTGCGGCTGCTGCCGTTGCAGCAACAGCCAACAGCAATTTGTAGACCAAATCCAGTCGAGAGGCGGCCTCTGAAAATTTTACGACTTGCAGCTTGATTTGTGTTTGCGCTGTCTGCGTGAATAGCAGGCTGCTACCACACATGAATAGCTCTACTTTTAGCCAGCAGCATTCCCAAAATACCAACTACACAACACAAACACACACACACACACACTCACACACCCACAGCCCTATTCCAACCTGTTATACACACTCATGTAATAGGTTTCGGAAAATCCTTTCATGTGTGCGCCGTTTGTTTGGTAAATCAAAAATTGGCATGAAACCACAGCAAAAAGCGTGTGTGCGTTCAATTTTCACAGATGTAAGAGTTAGGAAATAGGATACATCGCTATTTCCATATCATCATAAACTCAAACATAACCTCAACTCAATTATTAAAACTATTTTCATATTAACATAAGCTCAAACATAACCTCAACTCAATTAGTCATATATTAATAGTAAATTTTAAATAAAGCATTCATTAATATGCAAATATGATAAAATAAAATACAATTTGTATAAACAAAATATACTAATACTTAGGAATGTGAAAAGAAAATCAAACATAACCTCAATTTCCAAATAAAACTGTCTACAAAAAATATGAATCGTTATTTCTAAAAGCTGACAAATGCTTTAAACATAATCCAAAAATATTTTCGAGTTGTTTCAGGTATTATAAAGGGGAATATCAAACCTAGAATTACATAAATCAAATCAAATCAAATCAACAAAATAATCAATCATAACCTCAACTTGTTAATAGCCCATTACACACCTTAACCACAACTAAATTTAACAGCAACTTCTTATACCTACCCAACTCTCTGAAAAGCATTCAACCTTATGGAAACATTAAGATTAAAACAATGAAATAGCGTCTATTAGTGTAAATAATCATACAAATGTACAGAAATTCAAACACAACCTCAAATTTCTCAGAAGCCGTCAGCAGCACTTCTAACGGTAACTAAGGTAAATACCTACCTGAACAACCTATTATTTTGTGACATATTTCAAAAGATATTATAGGATAACAAGTACTTAACTAATACGTAAACGCATCTTTTATTATAAATACAAATACACCTCTTTCTATGAGCTAAAAACCAACAAAATAGGCTTATTTTATCAGCCTTCTGAAATAAGAAGATATACAGAACCTTGCAAGAAACTATGCCAAATAGTGTAGCTTATATTTAAACCCAATATGTTAAGATCAACAAATAAATATATATAAATATAATAATATTCAGTACGGCGAAGCTAATTATCTTCTATTAGGTTAGTCCTGGCGAAGAGTTCCCTTGCCAAACCTAGAAAAAAAAAAAAACAAAATAGAAATCATATATCCTCTGACAATTTGTGGAAAAATCTGTCAACCTAAAATGAGACAAATGTATAATAAAACAGTTCAACTATTCATGTTACTCAGAATTTCAAGTCAACTATTTTGATCTACACAAATTTTCCTGAAAAAATTGTATGCTGTAAAACCAGTTTTAACTTCGAAATTATGACGGGAATTGCTATTAACGGTTTTGGACGGATTGGGCGCGTCTTTCTGCGCGAAACTTTAAGGCGACAGGATGTTAAAGTTATTGCCATTAATGATCCATCGATGGATCCCAAGTATATGGCCTATATGTTACGCTACGACACAACACATGGCGTTTTAGACAAGAAGATTTCCATTGAAGGCAAGAAGCTAATCATAGACGGCCAAAAGATTGAGGTGCTTAACGAGCTGGATCCGACAAAATTGTGTTGGAAAGATCTCAACGTGACTACGGTAGTTGAATGTACTGGTCGATTTACCACTCTTAAGGCTGCACAGTCGCATATCGATGGGGGAGCTAAAAAGGTGGTCATATCTGCACCATCGGCGGACGCGCCCATGTTTGTGTGTGGCGTCAATTTGGACAAGTATAAGCCAGAAATGAATATCATATCGAATGCCTCTTGCACAACCAACTGCCTTGCACCGCTGGCAAAAGTTGTGCATGATAATTTTGAAATCTTGGAGGGTCTCATGACGACAGTTCATGCTTGCACCGCCACGCAGATGATTTTGGATGGACCGAGCAAAAAGGTCTGGCGCGATGGACGCAGCGGCATGTGCAACATAATACCGGCCAGCACGGGCGCTGCCAAGGCTGTTGGCAAGGTTATACCAGAACTGAATGGTAAGTTAACAGGCATGGCTTTTCGTGTGCCCACACCGAATGTTTCCGTGGTGGATTTGACATGTCGTCTTGGCTGTGCCGCCAAAATGGATCAGATCAAGGAAGCTGTCAAGGAAGCAGCCAAGGGCGATATGAAGGGCATACTAGCCTACACTGAAGACGATGTAGTCTCGTCGGATTTGAATGGCTCGCGCTATGGCTCCGTATTCGATGCCAAAGCCTGCATAGCGCTTAACGATAATTTTGTTAAGCTTATCTCGTGGTATGACAATGAAACTGGCTACTCTTGCCGGCTGTTAGATCTTGTGATTTTCTCTCAAATGATAGATAAATGTATCGAAAAACAAAAGAAAGACAAGTGCGACAAGTAGGAAACCCCCTTACAGACATTAGCTTCAATTAATGTAAAATCTCCAAATAAAGTTTTACGTATTTACCTTAAACTACGCTCGAGTTGCGTTGAAACTGAACCGATGAGATGCTCATTATCTCATGCTCCCCATTATTGTTGGCCGCCTCACTTGGCTGTTGCTGCTCCGCCGCCTCGACCACAATGTCGTCTAGCGTGGGCGTCTTAATGCGATTGCGTATGATGAGATCACGCTCGGCGGGTGCTTGTAAATGCAGAGGATTGGTGGCCAGTTCGGCAGCCACCATTTCATCGCCTTGCAGGCCCAGCGTCATATTGACTTTGGCATGCTGGCCAGCTGTCAGCTCGCTGCTAGGCGGCTCAACGACAGGTGGCGGACGCAGGCGTGCCGGATCCAGCAGCGAGTGCATTTTTTGTTTGCGTGGCGTGCGCGCTGGCGAGGCCTTTCTCGAATTGTAGTTCTTCAGTTGCTTGGCCCTGTGGCAAGAACATTGTATTAGTAAAATTGAACAAAACCTTAACGACACACTTACGCCTCCATCAGCTTGAGCAGCATGTGATGGTAAGCCTCGTACTCGTCCTTGCCAAATTCATTTGGATCGTGGCGAGCGTGTTCGTATGTGTCACAGAACTGATGTATTATGCGTTGCCCAGTGCCGTTGAGCGTCACCGAGAGCGTAGTCAGTAGAAAGGCACGTAAGCTTTCGTGGGCGTGGCGTGTGCTGCCATCGGCACGCGCTATCTCCGTTTCCAGCAATTTAACATCATCCACGGCTTTCATGCGGTAGTAGTAGGGAGGCAAATCTTGCTCAGGACCTGGCTGCACAATATACTTGTCCGCATCGGTCCACAGCAGCTTTGGTTCCTGTGCTATCTTCTGTATGCAGTCCAATCTGCGCTCAATTTCGCGGCGGAGCGCCTTTTTGGCGTCAGTGCCCACGGGCACATGAGGGCCGCGGCGGCTACGCAGTGTGAATCGCATTATCTGCCGCTTCGCGAATATGAAGAGCATTACAAAGGTCAGCACGCCGCCGCCGATGATAATTATTATCATAACACCCGAAAGCTGCTCCATATTTGCGGGTGTTTCGAATTTTTCACTAAAAATCTCCTTTGTTTAGGTTTCTGGTCGCAAACTAATCGATATATTTAACCATTTAGCAACATTGTCACTGCAAATACGTAACTTATCGATAATTTTGCCCATTAAGAAATCGATACATTTAGATTATCCGCAACATTATACAAAGCTATCGAAAGTGCGCAAAAATCGGTTTCAAACATTTATTTAATTTAATTTGCAAGCGAATGAGAATTGCTTTCGATTTTCTGGTGGTCAACATCGCCTATAAACAATAACTACAAACTAATCCAATCCTAATGCAGTCTCTTTGGCAACCAATAGCTTCTATACATATGTTCATGGCGTTCGAATTCCAGTTTCGAGTTCATGTCCAGGGAAAGTTATTGCAGTAGAGGACGGTGCCGCAAGCACAGTATGTGGTGCACCAGATAAACAGGGCGCCCGCCTTCGAGCGCAGCGAGAGATGCGCCAGCGATTTGGGCATATGATCTGCAGCAAACCAATAGAAAATGGGCGTGGCCGAGGCCAACAAGCGCGTGGACACCTGAATGTGAACGAAGAGAGCACAGACGAGCGTCAAGAACGCGCCGTGCAGCACGAATGGCAGCGATTTTTGTGACTTGAGTGGCTCCCGCCAGCTGGCCACCTGTGGCCAAATCTTAGAGGCCAAAAACCACAAATAATCACAGCAATGCCACTGCATAAACACGAGCATGGGCAATGCTAGTAAAAAATTGGGCAGCTGCTTCCATTGATAGTAACGCAAGAAGCCAACATCCCAATAGGTGGACTGCACGTAACTGTAAGGGAATGGCAACGTATATTGGCACCAGGGCGATCCCTTCGGTCCCCGTCCCGCAAGCAGATAGTTCCGTTCGCTGGCATAATGCAGCACCTGCTGCGGATGCTTTACCTTGATGCCGGGCATACAGTAGAGTCGATATATGTAAAAGTAATAGGCATGCAATATGGCCAGCGGTATAAGCACGGCCAGCGCCATCTTGATCACCTGTTGGCACCGTTTCACGTTCGTCGTCAGTAGAATGTGGCGCGCAAAAAAATACAGGGGAAAGCCCAGGGCAATCAGTCCATTGGAGCGGCACATAATGCAAGCGGCCAAGCTGGCGCAAATGCGCATAAAATTGAATTGTTGCTTGGCCCGGACGCATTCCAGCATCAGGATAAAGCTGGCGTAGGTGAACAGCGATTCGGAGTAGGCGGCACTGAAGAAAATGCTGGCCGGATTAAAGCAAAAAACGAGCGCTGCATTCCAACTCTTGTGCAGATCATTGAAGACGCGCTGCGTCAGCTGGTACAGATAATTGGCAGCCTCGCAGAAGAGCCACACATTCAAGGCGACAGCGACGACCAGAGTCAGCGCATGCATCGAAATGGGCACATTGAAAGTCTCCAAAGCTGCGGCCAAGTTGCGCACAAGCACCGGATATAATGGATAGAATGCCAGAGTATTCTCATACGTGTACAAATAGTTGGCAATGTGCAGAAAGTATTCACCATCCCAGTGCCGCAAGCCGCCCAAGCAGCGCATAACCAGCTTGTCCAGGTAGTGGTCGGGATTTGTTGCATTCGGTGTGGGCATTGGCATACGAAACACATCCGGCTTATGATCTGGCACAATCCAGTTGGCCAGCATTTGAACGGCCAGAATGATGAGGCGACTCGAAAGCGCCAGCTTTGTCACCTTCAGTGTCATCTTTGCTGCTGATGGCTGGGTGGAGTCGGTGGTAGGCATGTGATTCACAACATATTCAAAATGCTTCACTTACTCACCTATATATGTATATGTATTTGTAGTTGTGGTAGTAGCAGTTAGAATATATAAAATATGTTGGCCTACGCTTAAAACATTCGTAGCGCACAACAATTTTTTTTTAACGTGTCTTTGTGTGAAAATGGAGTCGTTTAAAGACTCCCTAAATATGACTTGACATTTAACAGACCGACTAGTCCGTTTTTTAAAAAAAATTAAATTTTTGGCCAAATGCAACCGGCAAGCCAAGTGGCAAACAGTGTGTACACACCAACTGCGGAATTGAACAGCTGTATTTCAAAACTAAACAATTAACAACCCTGAACTCAACTCTGCAATTTTTAATCGATAACAAGACTTTATTCACATAGATTGTTGGCGCGCAATTTTAAAGTGATATATCTTAAGCAAGCTTATGAATTAAATTGTATTGTGTTTTTATTTAAAGCACATGTAACCCAGAACTGACCAAAGGTTTCTGAACAGCATAAATCCAGGTTTTTGTTTAAGCCCTGATTTAACTCCAGTTTAAAAGAACTTTACTATTTAAATAAAAACACAAATACATTTAACTTAAATTTTTTATGTTTCAACATGTCATTTTCATCTAATTGACATACAAGAGATCTGATTTAATCGCCTTCAGACTCGGATTCGGCCTTTTCACTTACTTCTACTTCATCGAACATGCTCATAAGTTCCACTTCCTTGCGCCTGATGCGCTCCTTTATGTTTGTGATAGACTCCGCCTTCGGTACGTCGCGAGTAAAGAACTCATCCATGGACTTGAATACAGTATTATATTGGGTTGGCTCAAAGCTGGATAGCACGGGCATTGGCGGTTTCTTGGGCATACGCCTGGTCACATAGCTGCGCTCCATGAATTGCTTGAGCTCATCCAAATGCTGTTCTTCATCCTGTTCGTGAGATGAAAATTGACGTATCGTTTGGCGATCCAATTTTTTCTTATTTTCCGCGCGTGCCCTGTCAATTTGCTTGGCCAGCTGCGGTGATGGCAACAGGAGCTTAATATCTCCAACGAGCAGATCACGATTAAGTATTTCCGCCTCATTGGTCTGCACGCCCATCTCCAGCAATGGTTGCTTCTCCAGCCTAGGCTCATACAGAGCATCTACTTGGACATCCTTCTTCAGCGGCATACCACCGCCCGCTGCCTTTCTTCCCTGTTGCAACCCCAGTTTCGATATGGGACCCAATGCCAATCGATCCGGGCATTTCTTATCGCCACCAATTGGTGCTCGTTGCTTGCGAGGAGTTGCCATCTTTTGGGCCAGTACCTTGCTTCGATTGCTGGCCGCACGCAGTGTTGAGGCAATTGTCGGTTTCTCCAGCCGTGCCGTCAGTGTCAGCCGGCTTGTGGTCGTCACAGCTGTTGTCTTCCAGCCAGCGGTGCCACCATCGCCATCGCCGCCGGTGCGTCTACCTGCTCCGGTCCTGTGTGATGATAGCGGCGCCGCCAATCTGGTGCCTCGTGGCGCTTCTGTTATGCTGCGATGAAAACTACTTGCTGGATTGGGCATGACCATGGGCGAGGCCAATTTGCCGCGCGCACTCATACTGCAGATGTTAATATCAATCGTTAGGCGCACAATCTTTGCTGGTTCGTTGAATTACGCTTAATATTATGAATCTAATTACTTCACTATATTACAATTTTAAAGAGTCACGTTAATTTACTGGAATTCCTTGAACTATTTACAATATTAAAAAAAAAATGTTACTTGAGCTTTCATGCAGCGAAATAAAAATCTGTTGTGTATTTATTTAGTAAAAAATTTGTAAAGCCAACTTTGTTATTTAAATATAGCAAGCTATTCCAATCTCGTCATTGCAGAATTTACCAATTAATATGTTCGCATAACAATGCAACAACGTGTTATTATGCTTGTCCAATAAGTATATTGTTTATTGTTGATTTCGGTTAACATATGGAAAATATGAAAATATTTTAACTTGCGCTTCACATAGTTATTACATTTCTCAATTTTAAATTGAAGATACAAAATTTATTTAAATCAAAATCAGGCAGCGTATGGGCTCTGCACAAATTCAACGCAGTCCAAACTCCCTTTTTATTAAACTCTCTCGAAATTTATAAATCAAATTTAACGTCTTTTTAAACATCACATACATGTTTAATAAGTTGAGCAAATCTCGGGGATTTACACACGCATGTATAGGATGTTCAATACAAAAGTATATTTATTTTAAAATATCATCCAAACTCGCAACTGATGCATTAAAGCATACTTTCAATGTGCTGCATTTTAATTCATCCAATGCGAATTTGTTAATTTTATAAAAATGTCTTTTTTTTTGCTGCTTGGCACATGTTGCAAGTGCGGCAGTCTAGTTGTGGCTGCTTCCATTTGCAATATGCCACAAACAGCAAAGGTCAAAAGAGGCTAACACTGGGACACAATTATCCCGATGTAGTCCTCGTAAATTGTTTGTAACTAGAAGCTACATAAATATACGCAATTATGATATAACACAAGTGCTCTTCTTTTTTGGCTTAGGCTGCGGTCTTGGAGTCGCGCTTTGCCAGGACGTGCTTTGGCCAAAGAATGGTGGTGGTCGTGTGTATTCATCGGGTAATCTTTGTGGTTCCCTGGAATGATTAAGCGACTGTTGGGCGCTCTCAAAGCGCATATAGCCCGTGGGAATGTAGCTGTACTGAGTGCTGCGTCGCAAACCTGGACTGGCAGGCGGTGCACTGGGCATAAATGATAACTCGATCGCCTCATGGCCCACAGTAACTGAAGTTTCTGTACTAGCGGTCGAAGCGTTGTGATGCATATTGGCGCTGAGACCAAACCCAGTTGTTGCCCGTTGGCTGGCTGAAGTAGACGCCACAGCTTCGGGCGGCTCATTAACGGATAAACGCTGCACGTCTGCCTTAATGGAGCGCACTGTGGCAGAATCATTGTCCACATAACGCGGTACGCTGGGCAGCTCGTCGAACAGCTTGTCCAGGTCCGATTTTTTAGGCTGCTGAGCCTGACCGCTCAGTTTCAGCAGCTCAGCCTTATTGTAGCCAATCTTTGTGGCCGCAGATAAGGGCACCTTGTTGTGTATGTTAGCTGAACATAAAAATAAACAAAATAATATGAAATATTTTATAAGAAAAACGAAAAAAAAAAAAGATTTAAATAAAACCAAAGAAATGTGTTCATCAGGATCAGTGTGTGTCAAATTAGTTAGCCAAATGCTTATATCACGAGCATGATCAAAAGATGCGAATGCCAATTTATTATAAACATGGACGGTAGGTATTGGGTTTAATACAATTGAAACTGCAATTGCTTCTCTTTTATCTGACTTGTTGGCGAACTTGGACTTGGATGCTTAAAAACGGCAGTCAATTGTTTTACGCCAACAACTAAAGCCGGGGCGCCTCATGTCATGTAATGCATATATGATGTATGTATACATATATATATGTATATATATACATATATATATATACATAAATATATATATATATATATATAAAGGATGTGAATATATGACGTATTTGAAATGTGTACGTCGATCTTGAAAACTTCTAAAACGTATGCTATGGACAATCTAAATCGATATAGTTTGATCCACTCTCGCTTATCCATATTATGGGATCATTCGAAATGCTAAAGATCCAGCATAAGCATTTGTATATAGGCATTTATGATCGCTGTCACGATTTCTTTGGTTTCTTTGGTGATGATATTGATAATTATGACAACGATTATTACTTCGCTTGAATGTCTGTCCCAATGTCTGCGCGTCCTCATGTGTTGCATCTGTTGGCTGTTGGCGATTATTATTACAGCCAGAACGCATTGGATTACCAGATTGAGTGGCCGTCCCGTTCGCCTCGTTCGTCTTATTATCATCCGGATAATAAGGCGAACCGACGAGCGTTTTGCGATCCCGGCACATGTCGATGATATGACGAAATTCCTGATTTTTGCTTAGCGTGCGCGGATTACCAATTAAGATAAGCAAGGACATGGGACGTGATAGTAAAACGTTCAAACGCTGCAAGAGATTTTAGATTGATATTGATATTGAGATTCAAATTGATATTCCCACTTACGCGACTATTATTAAGGAAGCCCAACTTTTCCGTAAATGAGCGCACAAAAGAAACAATTATAATTTGCTTCTCCTTGCCTTGGAACAGTTCAACAGAGCCACAATCGATTTGATGCCAATTGCGCATGTTGAGCTGCTCCTGGATGCGCTGATACTGATTCTTATATGGCGATATAATGCCAATATCCGTTTGGGCCAGCTTCTCACCATTGATGCCAAAGTACATCAAATCCTTTACATAGTCCATAACTGCATCTATTTCCTTATTGTTGCAGAGGCTGTAATCAGAATCGAATATGAATTACTATTCAATCAGGATTTGAATCGTATACGCACCTCAGCGAACTTTGGGAGTTCATGGTCGTGCCAAAAACCGAGTGAAACATTATGGGAAAATGTTCGTTGGGCGTATGAAACCAGTTTCTGGCAAGGCATACATTTGCTATAATGAAAACAAAAATAAAGTAAAGAAAATGCACAGTAAGAATCTTTGTAATGGGCAATAAAGTGCAAACTACTTGGTTAATTGCAAATGTAGAAAGGAGGCATCTTCAACCACGGACGCACCAATTAGACGGACAACCCTCTTGGAGGGACATTAAGCCAAACATAATGCGGACAAAAATACCCAGCGGTCGCTGTATATACATTCCTGCACAGCACCAAAGCCAACATTCAAAATATTATAGAAAATCTCTCTTTGAAAAAACAACAAAATCCAAGTAGAGCAGGCCAATAGATCGACTAATTTGATGAACTAATTAAATAGAATTTGAAGTTCTGTGCCCTCTTCATATTAAACCTCAATTCGTATCGGATGTATGCATAACATTGACTCACCTAGTGCCGCCTCCGATTTCAGTTCGCTGTTGTAGTAGAGATCACTGTAGAGCGAGACAATTTCGGGATGGGAACGATAGTTACGTCGCAATCGCGTCTGTACGGCTGCATTGTAATCACCATTCTCGTCCAAGCGGTAGCACTCACGCTGCAGGAGACGCTCAAATAGCGAAACGCCCAGACCCCAATCTCCGGCACGCTGCGATTGCAGTACCGGTCCCAATTGCTTATGATCGCCAGATAGGATTAGATTCGTAGATGGCGCTATGGTACAGGTAATGCCCATAAGGACCTC